TTCTGGCAACTTCAGACCCGGATGGCGCCTGTTACGTTGAGACCAAGAACTTGGACGGTGAAACCAACCTAAAGGTTCGCTCTGCTCTCCGGTGCGGCCGTGGCATGAAGCATGCCCGTGATTGTGAACGTGCGCAGTTCATCATCGAAAGCGAGCCTCCTCAGCCCAACCTCTACAAGTACAACGGTGCGGTCAGGTGGCTCCAGGAACTTCCCAACGACGAGGATGGCGACCCAATCCCAATGTCGGAGCCCATTAGCATCGATAACATGCTTCTTCGTGGCTGCAATCTCAGGAACACCGAATGGGCTCTTGGCGTCGTCGTCTTCACCGGCCACGATACCAAGATCATGATGAACGCAGGAGTTACTCCCAGCAAGCGGGCTCGGATTGCCCGTGAGCTCAACATTAACGTCGTCTACAACTTTACCATTCTTCTGATCATGTGTCTTATCGCGGCTATCGCAAACGGTGTCGCTTGGGCAAAGACCGACGCTTCTTCTTACTGGTTCGAATGGGGCTCTATCGGCGGAACTTCGGGTCTTACGGGATTTATCACCTTTTGGGCTGCGGTTATTGTCTTCCAGAACTTGGTGCCGATCTCGCTTTACATTTCGCTCGAAATCGTTCGGACGTTGCAGGCTTATTTCATCTATAGCGACATCAACATGTACTACGAGCCGATCGATGCGCCTTGCATCCCCAAGTCCTGGAATATTTCGGATGACGTTGGTCAGATTGAGTACATTTTCTCCGACAAGACTGGTACCCTGACGCAGAATGTGATGGAGTTCAAGAAGGCCACGATCAACGGACAGCCGTACGGAGAAGCCTTTACCGAAGCGCAGATTGGTATGAGCAAGCGAAGCGGCGGCGGCGACATCGATTCCGAGATCGCCAGGATCAAGGACGAGATTGAACAAGCCAAGGCACGCACTCTCCATGGACTCCGTGAGATTCACAACAACCCCTATCTCCACGATGAAGACCTTACATTCGTTGCTCCCGACTTCGTTGAGGATCTGGCTGGTAAGAACGGTCCCGAGCAGCAAAAGGCCAACGAGCACTTCATGTTGGCCCTTGCTCTCTGCCATACTGTCGTTGCGGAGAAGCAGCCTGGTGATTCTCCCAAAATGATCTTCAAGGCGCAATCTCCGGACGAGGCCGCTCTGGTTGCTACCGCTCGTGACATGGGCTTCACCGTCCTCGGTATGTCTGATGGAGGCGTCAATGTCAACGTCATGGGCAAGGACATGCACTACCCCGTTCTCAACATTATCGAATTCAACTCCAGCAGAAAGAGAATGAGCGCGATCGTCAGAATGCCTGACGGCAAGATCAAGCTCTTTTGCAAGGGTGCCGACAGTATCATTTACGCCCGTTTGAAGCGTGGCGAGCAAAAGGAGCTGCGCAGGGAAACCGCTGAACACCTCGAAATGTTCGCCGTCGAAGGTCTTCGTACTCTCTGCATTGCGGAGAAGGAGCTGACAGAGCAGGAATACTACGAATGGAAGAAGGAGCACGACGTTGCTGCTACTGCTCTGGAGAACCGCGAGGAGAAGCTCGAGGAAGTTGCCGACAAAATCGAACAAGATCTCACTTTGCTCGGCGGTACTGCCATTGAGGATCGTCTCCAGGATGGCGTGCCCGATGCCATTGAGCTCCTCGGCAATGCCGGTATCAAGCTCTGGGTTCTTACCGGTGACAAGGTCGAGACGGCTATCAACATCGGTTTCTCTTGCAATCTCCTCAACAACGACATGGATCTTGTTCGCTTACAGGTTAGCGAGGATGAGGCTGGTGTCCAGCAGGAAGCTGAGTACCTTCGCCTTGCCGAAGAAGAACTCGACAGGGGTTTGGCCAAGTTTGGCATGACCGGCAGCGACGAGGAGCTCAAGCAGGCCAAGAAGGACCACGAAGCACCCGCGCCTACTCACGGTCTTGTCGTTGATGGATTTACCCTTCGGTGGGTTCTCAGTGACACGCTCAAGCAGAAGTTCCTGTTGCTGTGCAAGCAGTGCAAGTCCGTGCTCTGCTGCCGTGTCAGTCCCGCTCAGAAGGCTGCTGTCGTCTCCATGGTCAAGAACGGCTTGGACGTCATGACCCTCTCTATCGGTGATGGTGCCAACGATGTTGCCATGATTCAGGAGGCGGATGTCGGTGTCGGTATTGCTGGTGAGGAAGGTCGCCAGGCTGTCATGTCTTCTGATTACGCCATCGGCCAGTTCAGATTCCTGACACGCTTGGTGCTCGTCCATGGTCGCTGGTCCTACCGTCGCTTGGCAGAGACGATTAGTAACTTCTTCTACAAGAACATGGTGTGGACATGGGCCATCTTCTGGTTCCAGATCTTTTGCGACTTCGACATCTCATACATTTTCGACTATACCTACATTCTCATGTTCAACCTGTTCTTCACTTCCATTCCTGTCATCCTCATGGGTGTCTTGGATCAGGATGTGAGCGACACTGTGTCCCTGGCCGTTCCTCAACTTTACCGCCGCGGTATTGAACGGCTTGAGTGGACACAGACCAAGTTCTGGTAAGTAATGTTCGCACCTATGATAATCTGGTTGAAGGTGTCCGCTAACAAATTCCCAGGGCTTACATGGCTGATGGTATCTATCAATCTGTCATGAGCTTCTTCATCCCGTTCATCTTCTGTATCCTCACCCCTGCCGCCTCTGGAAATGGTCTCGATGTCCAGGAAAGGACAAGACTGGGTTGCTACATTGCCCATCCTGCCGTGTTGACCATCAACATGTACATCCTCATGAACACTTATCGGTGGGATTGGGTGATGCTCCTGGTTGTCTTCCTTAGTGACATCTTCATCTTCTTCTGGACCGGCATCTACACGGCCACCAGCTACTCGGGCCAATTCTACCAGGCCGCTCCCCAGGTCTACGCCGAGTTCACCTTCTGGATGGCCTTCATCATCACGCCGACCATCTGCCTGCTGCCCCGCCTTGTCACCAAGTGCATCCAGAAGCAAATGTTCCCCTACGACGTCGACATCATCCGCGAGCGCATCTCCACTGGCGAATACAAGGCCGTTGAAGTGCCCGTCGTCGCTCCTGTCGAGGACGAAGCCCTCAAGGGTACCTCGTCTGGCTCCTCGGAATCGTCCAGCAGCCGCGCCAAGTCCAAGTCGTCCAAGCACTCCAAGCACACGCACTACGCCAGTGTCGACGAGGATCGCCGGCCTATCTATCCGCCATCCGTCAACACGCACCACACGCGCGCTCAGAACGGCAGTGACGGGACCAACTACACGCGGCACTCGCTTGACACCAACCAGATCGAGGACGAACCGCCAATGGGCGGTGGACGCCCGTCCATTGACCGCGCCAGGCCATCGTACGATCGCTTGCGTCGGTCGATGGATCGCGAGCGCATCAGGCAGAGTCTGGAGCAGTCTAATGACTTTACGTCAGCTGCCAGGCTTAGTCGGATTGAGTCGACACACTCGGCGCAGAATCTGCCTACGCCGGGGGCGCAAAGGAGGTTTAATCTGACGACAGTGCGTAAGAGGGGCTTGTCGGTATTTAGCAAGCAGAGTGAGGATGAGGTTCCACATCCTGGGGTAGAGGATGAAGACAAGAGGGATGAAAGGCGGGATAGTCAACAATGACGTTTAGAGGGAGGAATAAGTGAGTTATAGGTGAAGAGATAGAGTACAAAGGAACGAAGTGCATGCATGGCCACGAAGTTGAGACAAACAGATGGGACGAAGTTCGAAGCGAAGGGAACGGGAGGAATAGGGAAGGGAAGGGAAGGGAAGGACATGATTTCATGGCCCGCACACATGACTTTTTGGCTGGATAGTGGTGGTGTTGTTGTTGTTGTTGTTGTAGCTGCATGCTGTGTGCGAAGGACCACACGGCCTTGGGGAGGGATGGTGGGGGTTTTCATCTATTTTCGTCTTGTTTTTCTCGGGGTTTTGAAGGCTGCTGTTACTGCTACGTTCTTATACCTGCTGCTGCGATAGTATGTACTGCTGCTTTTTTGGTCCTCTTTCTTTGCGGCCGTCGAATCAACAAATCTACACTACTTGTTGTTTGGTTTTTTTTGGCTATGGCTGCTTTGTTTCTTGTCACATATCATCACCACAGTACTAGAAGAGGTCGGGTCGAGTTGAGGAGATGAAGAGAATGGAGCAAGAAAGCAAGCAAGCAAGCCAAGCGAGCGAGTCAAGAGAGTATAGTATGGTGAGAAAGAGATAAGAGCAAGCAAAGTGAAGTACAAACTGAAATCTGCAAAAGCCAAAAGTGTATATTATATAAGGATTTATAAATACCCCGCGTACTGTTTAGATAACTACTTTTTGGGTCTTTGGATTCATGACTGGCTCTGTTGGAAGCAAAAGCAAGCAGAATTACAGTGGTATGGGATGGTTGTTTGGTGATGAATGAATGCGTGGACTCGCACACTTCAGAAGGATATATATATTTGGTGCAGGATTAACTTGCTCTTCATGTTCGTAAGTTTCGGTTTATATAGAATATGGAGTCAACTGCGAAAAGGTTCCAGCTCGTTTTTTTTGCTTTTTTGGGCCGCAGATCTACTGTGAACTAATGTAGATATAGACCGAGAGAAACCACGGAAAGAAATTCGCAATACTTGCACGGTGTTGATAACTATTTTTCTTTTTTCCCGAATCTCTTGAGCAAAACATAAACATCACTCCGTGTGGAAACACACAAGCTTTTCCGAATTTTCCTGCCACATCATAATTGAGACTAGCCTTAACTCTTAATTGTTTACTCGTCCTGTATGACTACTCCTTCCGAGTTACGTCGAGAAAAAGGGGTTGGGGAGAAGGGAACCCTTGTGGCTAGCACTCACAAGCATTGCCTGCCGGGTGGTACTATATATGTGGGGTGTGCCTGCATCAGCTCACGAACACGCGCCTGATGGAACAGCTCCCCAATAAGTAGCTTACCCCTGGAACTTTTCTTTTTCTCGACGATTCGAGCTTCTCCTACGCGAGACAACTACCGTTGTAAGACTTGTTGAGGCATAGCCCGGCTGTCAAGTGCTTGGGGTGGTCTGTCCTTGGCCTCTACAAGCTCACTCAGCGCAACAATGGCGGCGGAGATACCTAGGAGTCTGCTCGTGCAGCTCCGGACCGCTTTGGAGGATACACCGTACGTGCATAGTACACTCTCTCTGCCTTTTCCCTCCTACACCTTTCCGGTACGCTCCAAACCTTACTGACAAGCCCAGCACAACAGGGTAGGAAGCTACATTCCCGAATCATCATGGGCCCTCGTCTGGTCAGCCCTCGCCGCGCTGGCCGTCTGGTACATGGCGAGCCGCGAAGACCAGCCGATCCGCTACACGATTCCTCCCGCCAACTTCCCCAAAGAGGAGAACATCCTTGAGAACCCCTCAATCAAAGTCTCGGGTACCTCGGCGATCCAATGCTACGCCCCTGCCACCGGCCAATTCCTCGGCTTCGTCAACCCCTCGACCCCCGAAGGCATCGACCGCGCCATCGACCAAGCCCACGCCGCCCAGACCGAATGGGCCAAGACCACCTTCCGCCAGCGACGCGCCGTCCTCCGTTCCCTGCTCCAATACGTGCTCGACAACCAGGAGGAGATCTGCAGGGTGGCTTGTCTCGACAGCGGCAAGACCATGGTGGACGCCCAGCTGGGCGAGATCCTGGTTACGGCCGAGAAGCTGCAGTGGACTATCAAGCATGGCGAGAAGGCGCTACGCCCGGAATCGAGGCCTACGAACCTGTTGATGGCGTATAAGAGGAACACGGTGCACTACGAGCCGCTGGGCGTGGTTGCTGCGCTGGTGAGCTGGAACTACCCGTTTCACAACTTGATCGGACCGGTGATTAGCGCGCTGTTTGCAGGCAACGGGATTGTAGTCAAGGTATCGGAGCAGACGGCGTGGAGCTCGCAATGGTTTACGAGTGTGATCAGGGGCGCGTTGGTTGCGCATGGTCATAACCCTGCGCTTGTTCGTACGTGTTGCCGATTTTCCTGAGTCTACTGCTTACCTTGGCCCTTGCTAACAAGCCTGTTCCGCACAGAAACCGTAGTCTGCTGGCCCCAAACAGCCAACCACATCACCTCCCACCCCAAGATTAGCCACATCACTTTCATCGGCTCCCAGCCCGTCTGCAAGAAAGTCGCCGAATCGGCCTCCAAGGCCCTTATCCCCGTTCTCGCCGAGCTCGGCGGCAAAGACGCCTCCATCATCCTCGCCTCGGCCCCCAAGTCCGACCTCCCTCGCATCGTCAACACGCTCATGCGCGGCACCTTCCAAGCCTCCGGGCAGAACTGCATCGGCATCGAGCGCATCGTCGTCGCCCCCCAACACTACGACACCCTCCTCTCCATGCTCACCCCGCGCGTGCGCGCTCTTCGTCTGGGTCCGACCGCCGACGTGGGCGCCATGATCTCCGATACCGCTTTCGCTCGTCTCGAAGGCCTGGTCGCTGACGCCGCCAAGCAAGGCGCTAGACTCCTAGCCGGCGGCAAGCGGTACGCACACCCTGAATACCCAAGCGGTCATTACTTTGTGCCTACCCTTCTCGTAGACGTCACGCCAGACATGGCTATCGCGCAAGAAGAGTGTTTCGGGCCCATTATGGTGGTGTTGCGCGCCGCTTCGTCCTCGGCGGAGGACATACTCGCCGTCGCCAACGCGCCCGACTTTGGCTTGGGCAGCTCCGTGTTCGGATCGGAATGGGATTCTACGCTGCACGAGGTGGTCAGGGGATTGAAGGCGGGTATGGTAGCCGTCAACGATTTCGGAGCTACGTATGCGGTGCAGCTTCCCTTTGGAGGCGTGGCGGGGTCGGGATATGGAAGGTTTGCGGGTGAGGAAGGACTGCGGGGGTTGTGTAATATCAAGGCGGTTTGTGAGGATCGGTTTGGGTGGCTGGGTGTGAGGACGGCGATACCGCGGCCGATGCAGTATCCGGTTCCTGATCAGGAGCGGAGCTGGAGGTTTGCGAGGGGCGTGGTGGAGGTTGGATATGGGATGGGCTTGGGGAGGAAGGTGGGTGGGGTGGTGGGGATTTTGAGTAATAGCTAGGATCGGGTGTCGATATGTATGTAGGTGGAAGGGCAGACGTTGGTGATGCTATACTTGGATTATCTCTAGACGGGAGTGGTTCTGTGGGATAACGGCCCAGTATGTATATACCGTAGATCTTACGCCCGTTCGGATGAAGAGAGAAGAGGATACAGTAGTGTAGTAAATAATACCTAATGCATAAGACGAATCCTCTGGCCTGTCATGGTATCCGCCAAGAATATAACATTGGCAGTTATGATGTGATGTTGAAATATCCATGGAACTACATAGACCCTGAATTGTGTTGAGTGTGATGGTGTCTGAGTCAGTTTCAGATATCAAGACAAGACAACAAGACAAGACCCTTGGATAGGTAGGTAATCAATGGAGATAGTATTGACATCACATGGCTACCCATGTGTAAAAGTCAACCACAAAGAAAAAAGAAATGAATCAAGCAAAGGTATCCGCCCTTAAGGCCCAACGTCTTTCTGGGCTCCAGCAAAACCTAATAAAATGCTCCAGTTTAAAAAGCTTGTTTATTCCCCCGAAGCCAAAGACTTGGCCATGCGGGATGATGATCCAGATTTCTGAAATCTGAATTCAGGGTCCGTCGGTCTTCCGGACTGAATCCACTGACACCTTCTGTGTGCTGTACACAAGTATGGATTATATACCTAGGTAATCACGCCAAACAATTGAACTAAGAGTACTAATGTACGTCTCCTATCATACGGGGGAGAGATAGTAATAAGTGGAAGTGGAAGTGGAAGTGTCAATATCATCATCGGCCAAGGCTTGGACTGAACGTAGTGTAGTGTAGAGGTACATATGGATGTACATAAGCGCGGAATGGGAGATCCACAAGCCATGTGCAACCAGCCCGGCCGCCCGTTCGTTCGTTTGTTTGTTTGTCGTGCATCGATGCGAAAGTGGAGAACGCCTATGACGTAAGGATACATTGAATCCGCTGTTGATAACCTTGTAGCTACGACCCTTGTTTTTTTTCTTTTTAGGAAGTTCTTTGAAGGGATAGTAGCGTTTTATTTTCTTTGGCTGAAGGAAGCGAGACAGGCGGAGGGTTGCGGAAGATTGCCTGGCTAGTGTGCTATGTGCCAAGGAGTTGAGGTCTGGTCGGGGAGGCGTGAGGATACATACACAGTAGGATATTGCAAGGTTGTGTTATGGAGGTGAGGATATCTGGTGACGGGAATGAGTGAGTGAGTTTGCAGACGGAGACCTAAGGATGGGAAAGGAAAACTGAACCACGGGGCAATGGTGAGTGAGTGATGAGTACCCGTCGGAGGGGAGGGGAGGAATGGCGACTTTCGCCTCTCATCAAATTGGTTGGTTGGAGGGAGTGAGAGAAGCAAGAGAAAAAAAGACGTCAAGCCACATGTGGCATTACATCTTTGACCTACCTCCGTCCAGTCCTCAGGCTAATCACGACTCGACTTGACCGATAAGAGCAGGTAATATGGGAAAGAGGCAAGCCACTACGTAAGGTAGCCACATGTAACCCGAAGACGATCATCTCGAATCTTTCATCACCTCCCGTCGTCGCGTGACGGACCACGGAAAAAAAAAAAACGAGTGCCGTGACTAGGTAATGCGGTTGATATCGTAGCCCTCTCACAAACCAAGATTAACCACACACACTCTGGTAACCAAGCATCCGTCATGGTTGGCCAACGTGCGGTCCGAAGGTCGGTTGGCCACGCACACACAGGATGGGACAGGGGACATGGGATGGGGACTGAGGGAGTCGATCTATTTCTCGAAAGAGCCGGTCTTATCTTTCTTTTTCCCGTCAGCCCAGACCTTGTCTGTAACGGCTAGTTAACGACATCAACCCGCGTCTGGCTAGGTAGGTAGGTGCAGTGCTCGGCGTAAAGCTTTTCATATCGTAGTGGGAAAAAAATTCAAGGCACACATGGCTACTAGCTTCGTCGCTCGTTGCGCCGTTGGTTGTCCAGGGCTGGGGTTGTTGGAACGAATGGGACAGGAATGTGAATGGCATGTGCCGGAAAAAAAAAAAGAGAGCAAAAGGTACCGGTACCTAACAGCCGCCTGCCTGCCGCCCTGTGACGTCACAGGCACTTTTTACCGCAGATGAACTGCACACGCATACACACACAAGGACACTTGACTTGATATACACCAGGCATGCAGAAGGTATGCCTTGCATGGACGTACGCAATACCAAGCGAGCGGGTAGGTAGGTACCTAGGTAATGAGGAAGTGAGTGAATGGGCAGCGGGATGATGAATTCCATCGACAAACAGGAAAAAAAAACAAAAAAAAAGAGAAGTGACGAATGCGCAACTGAATGAAAAATGACTGGATGCCTTGGTTGCAAGACCAGACGAACTGAACAATGAATATATAATCACACCCACCTTCCCTTCCTCCAACGGTGATTTATCCATCCTTTCTATATCCTCACCATCAAATCAATCAGCATTTTGCGAAAGAAAGACTTCGACCTACGAAGCATCAACATATCATCACCCTACAAACAAACACACCAACCTAGACCATCCATCCATCCATCCATCTATCCATCATCAAAACAAAGAACCAAAAAAACAAAATGGGCGCCGTCATATCTTGCGTACGTTTCTCCCCCCTCCACCAGTTTCCCCTCTCCCCCACCAGTTTCCCCCCTCCTTCTCCCTCCCCCCCTCCCTTTCTACTAGCAACCCGTACTAAATCTGCAAAAAACAGATCCAAAGCGTCTTCCGCACCATCGGCCGCGCCATCATGGGCGTCGTCAACGGCATCGGCTCCATCCTCATGGCCATCATCAACGGCGTCATTGGCGTGATTGACGTGATTGTCGGCTTTTTGACGTGCAACTACTGCGGCAGTCGTCGGGGTCGCATGAGGAGGAGGAGCGGTGGTATGGGAAGACGGAGACATGCGGGGGGTACTGCGGCTATTTAAGTCTCTGACTCTCGAGTCGTGCGAGTCGTGGTAGGGGAAGGAGATGACGAGGGAATGACGAGGGGAGGAGAGGAGATGATGGAGAGGAGAGGGGGAGAGGAGAAAAGGAGAGGGGGAGAAGGAGATGATGGAGACGGATGATACCCAGTTGAGATTTGAGAAGAGCATGCGGTTAATGGTTTTTCTTTGTTTCTTACGAATATGTTTTACGGCGACGGCGACGGCGATGAAGCAAATTAATGCGGTAATGAGTTATGGAGGTTATACGATAGCACGAGATGACAAAGATACCCTATACCCCCCTTACGCTTTGCATTCAGTGCACAATACTTTGGTGGATGGAGATTAGTAGTGCTGGGAATGTATCTGATATTGAACATCACTTCTCATTTACCTATAGTGTTCTCTAACGTGATTAACGACATGTGAAACAGATGAAAACACATAACTGGCTTGATTCTATTGTCCTGAATAAACCTAGACCGCAGGCCTTTCTGCGCAAATCGGTCTTCTCTACTCTAGCTTACTGTATACCAAAGTCTTAAAATACATTTCTTTCTACCAAACGGCCTTGATTTCTTCACACATCAACATACATATTCATCATCACCCACTATAATCCTCCAAAACATCCTTCTTGAAAAACTCGACAATCTTCCCTGCCGCCTCCCTCCCCACCAGTCTCCCCAGCTCCTCCACCTCCATATTCGCAACCTCCCTCACATTCTCCGCCTCGGCAGTAATGCTCCTGATATTCTTCGGCGTCACGCCCGGGACTTTACCCAACATCTCCTGCGCCTCCATATTGAACGTACTACCCCCATTCACCGCCCCCTTCCCCTCATTCACCCCATCCTCGGGACTTTCTCCTTCCCCCAACCCCGCCCTGACAGCCGCGACGGGATCGGGTTCTTCCTCGAGCGCTTTCAGCCGCTCAAAGATTTCTGCCGTCTCGTAAGGGGACGACGACCAGATGATGCGGAGTTTCGGGAACGCGAGCGTGAGCAGCACGATTTTGGACTGCAAGTCGTTGGCGCCCGCGTTTTCGGGGTTGACGCTGCGCAAACTACCCGACAAGTCGGCAAAAGGTTCCAGAGTGAAGGACTTGTTCTGGTCGAACTCGATCAAGAGCATCGGGTTCCTGTAGTGCTGGAACATGGTCTCGCATTGGGCGTACAGCCGGCCGTCCTTAAAGGAGGAAATCAGATCCGAGACGGACTTGCGCTCGACGCAGATGTTGGGAGATAGGATGTAGTCGCCTACCGTGAGCATGCAGGGGACGATGACCATGGAGCGGCCGTGCAAGAGGGAAGGTAAGGAGGAGCGGAACTCGCGCACGTCGACGACTACGCGCGGTGGTTGGGCCGTCGCTTTGGCGAGCTTGCCGCCGCCGGCGATGCGGGTGTTGATGGTTCGTAGAAAAGCGGACTCGGGGTCCTCGACCCCGTGGGAGTCGGTCGTCATGACGATGGACATGGAGGCCCGCTCTCTGATGAGTTTCGTGAAGGCGTCCTTCTCGCGACGCACCGACGAGAGGTACCGCTGCTCTTCGACGGAGCCGCCGTAGTACAAAAAGTAGACGCGCACGTTGCGGTCGTTGTGCGAGGAGCGGTAGACTTCGACGCGCCGGATGAAGGAGGCGTCGGGCTCGTACATGATGATGTATTTGGGCTTTACCTCTTCCAGGATGTGCTCGTCTTGGTCGCCTTCGTAGGCGTGGATAACCACTAGATCTTGCATGTCGTAGAGTTGGTAGTAGTCGTCCATGTCCTCGAGCGGGTCGGCCGTGGCAAAGGTGATGATTTCTTCGGCTGCTTGGCCGCCTGCGTCGTCTTCGGTGATTTGGATCTCGGACATCAGGTCGGCTACTTCGTTGGGCTTTTCAAAGTGTTGGACGATGCTGCCGTTCTCATGGCGGCTGGGGTTGCTTCCGACACCACCACCACCGCCGCGAACTCGGCGCCGTTTGTTTGCTGGCGCTCCTCCTCGGCCTCTAGCCTGGGGGAGTCGTGGGTCGACGGCGCCACTGAGGGCCTTTTGGTTCTCGGAGAAGAGGGTGGCGTTGACTTGGGCGAATTCTCGTTTCCAGTTGAGATAGTTTCGTAGCTTTCGCCTCATCAGGAAGGCACCCGATGGTTTATCCTCTTCAGGGTCATACACCTCTTCCACCTTCTTTGCCGTTCGAGGTCGGATGTGCATTGTTTGTAGATAGTCGCGTAGCTGACGACACGTGTCTGTGTCTGCACACATGATCAGGATGGTCCCGTTGGAATCATCGCGAACAGCTGGTTCAAAGTAGAGATCTCTGTCAATTTCCTCCAGGACATCTGCAAGGACAGCCCACTTTGGCTGTTCTTCCAAGACAGGTTTCAGTGACTCGATGGTTGAGTTTGGACCCGCCTTTTGCTTGCTCGAATAGACTCGTTGTCTTGCAGTCTCGAAGATGGTTTGAGCCGCGTCAGAGAACAGCCATGGGGACTCTGTCTGCCTGGTAGTCCCAGGAGCAGGCTTATGTGCTGCATGAATGGTGTCCAGCTGTTGCAAGAATGACACGGCGTCGAGGGCGAGGATAGACTGGAGCATACCACGAAGAACTGTCAGATCGCCAGCAATCTGCTTGGTTTTCCAGCTGACTCTATGCCAGTTTGGCTCCAGCTGTCTCCGTACCATACGATCAAAGTTTCTGGTCAGAGCACTGTCCAGGTTCCAGTCTTCCATTTCCAGCCCGGTGTTCTCCTTTTTGAGCTCATGAATGCTGATCTCGACACATTCCATTATTGCAGTTTGGATCTCTCGCATGGAGTCGGTCATGGGAACTTCCAACTCGATGACTTCTGCCTTCTTCTTTCCCTCCAAGGATTGAGCGACCTGGACATGAAACCGAGGCCAGAGTGAAGCCTTTCGGAGAAACATATTTCTCATCATGGTAGCCAGTGGCGAGAAGCCTACTGTGAAGGGATCCGGGTTATCTGAAAAGGCCTTGAGAAAGCCAACCTTGTTCTTTTGGCGGTATATCCTGAGGATGAAGGCCTCGAGCGAAGTGGCAACTATGCGATCCGCGTGGAGGACAAGCATGCCCGTGATGGTCTCCGGGTTCAGGAGGTTTGTCAACAAGTCGACGACCAAGATGCGCGACGTGATGCTAAAGATGCCGCCCTGGGCATACATCTTCTCTCTTGTCCCGACACTGGTAAAGTCCGTGTTGACGACGGTCAAGCCCCGGGCCTTGGGAGACATGCTGATAGCGGCATGCTCGGCCAGGGCCTCACCAATCCAGGCATTCTCTCTGTCATCAGCGTTGACAACCACAATCAGGTTGTTTCCTGCGGCATCATACGAGTGAAGCAGGTTGGTGATGAGGCGCATGAGACCGAGGCCTCGGGCGAGAATGACAAGCTCATCTTCTTTGCGAAGCTCTTCAAACAGTTTCTGTTGGTAGACCTGTGTTTGTTATCAGTCTAGATGAACACAAGCCAACAATATTAAATGATTCATGGACGCACAAGAGGAAGTGAGAGCTTCACGGGTTGCGGGGCACTGGAGGCCGACATGACATGCGGGGCAGTGCAGTGTTGGTAGGTCTCGATCAGTCCGAGTCGAGGATCATGATGGAGAAAAGCTGGGATGATGGCGCTCGGGATGGTGAGTACAGTATCATGTGTGTTGTACTAATGGCGGTCCCTGAGTGGTTCCCTCCACTCGGAGTCAAGATCCAAGGAATGCTCTTGTCGGTTTGATGCGCTGTTCGTGGGAGGTTTTAGCAGCTGTCATTCAGTGTGCCTGCCGCCGCATAGTAAACGACGGCGTGACCACACCCAGGCGACGTCATTGTCTTGCACCCTCTTTTAGGCCCCTTGTACGTGGTACGACGACTGCAGGTTTCTTCCTATTTATTCCCTTTTGCTCATCCATCGTCTCCTTTTATAAAAAGAGACCCTTCTCGACCCTCACAACTTAACCTTCCACTTCTACACCTTACCCATCCTCCTACAAGACGATTTCGAAAAAGTTGATCAAGACTCTCAGTTGTCTCACTACGACCCACTCCTCACGAACCATCAAGACAAGTCATAACATCAAGTCCACCACAATGGCCGGCGGCGACGATCTCAGCAAGAAGGAAGTCAACATTCTTCCCCACGACACCCAGAAGGACGAGCAGGTACGTTATCCTTTTGGAACCTAGCGCCTTGTGTGAACTGTGAACTACAGAGAACAGATGACTGACTGTTTGACCAAACAAACAGAAGAACCCCAACAACCCCCTCAACAAGCTCGCTGATAGTGCCAAGGCCACGTTTGAGCAGGCGTCAAAGGCCATGCCCGGTCCCGCCATCTCGCAGAACATCGGTGGCGAGGAGGGCACCAAGGAGGAGCGCAGGGCCAAGGCTGAGGAGCTCAACAAGTAAAGATATGGACTCGGACAAACAAGGGAATGGATGGAATGATTGTAATGACTGAATGATACACATACACACACATAATTGAACTGTTTTGACAACTACTCTGATGGATCAGTCTTGTTGGAGCCTAAAGTGACTTTGGTGGTGTAATTGCGCCCAAATGAGAGGGGTCTGGTCCTCTGAAGTTGTCTCAAAGGGAGCCAGTTAGCATGTGAAGGTACTACAGGTACTTTCATGTCATCCCATGTTCATACACTACTTTGATCCTATATCAACCTGAGTCATATAACCTCCAAATGCACATGGAAGTTGTTGTCATTGCCAGTTTCAACATATCCCTCAAACAGCTCTCGGAGGAACCGTCTCGTTGGACATCCATCATCACGTCGGGCAAGCGAAAGGTCGGCTGTGCAAGCGGCGGGAATAGTGGAGGGGTTCAGTTGCCCACGAGAGATCCAATGTGAGGGATAGGTACCCACTGTTAGTGGACACAGACAATTGACGCCCTATCCACCCCCGGCACAATGTCATGACGCTATCTGATCCATGTTCACAAGTTGGTCGCTTCCCGTCGGAAATTGGTCATTGTGGCTTGCTGGGGTTTCGTTGCCATCCTGATTCCAGTCAAAGCCAGGTCGATGCCGCCGCCGTAGTGATGCAACTCCCAATCCCCGTAGTGTAGTGTACACTCACTGCATGCCTAACCTCTTGCCAGGTACACCCGCAATTCAACTTTCCTTGTCTTCCCTTGCAATAGGACTTGCTCCTCCGTACATACAGCTTTAATACATTGAATTTTCACGGCAGATCATAAGCTTGACAAGGCTGCTGGATCATTGTCCGAGGTACGTTATTCCCAGCCTGCCGCCGTCTCTTCTACTCAGTATCTGCTTTTGCTCCTTTCGGTCATTGGACATCCGGGCGGCCGAGTCTTCCTCCCACCAACCACCAAACATCCGTGCCTCCAATACCCAGACCTAGGTAGCTAACCGGCAACTTCCATTGTCTCTTCTAGGCTTCCGTCAGGTGTTTTTATTCCTACGCGGCAAGGCCACGGCAGCGCGGAGCTTTACTTTATCTTGTACCGACACGATACTTCGCCGTCGATAACAAGCACCAACGATCCGAAAAGCATTACTACGACATCCCACTTCCAACTTGCTACCTCGTCCTTCGCTCGACGTTGCCCCCCCTCGCCGACCGACCCGCCGACCGGATCTAGGCACGGCGACTCAGCTTCATAACAGTACCTCTCGGCGCTGCGCCCGCCGGCCGAGTCCTTCTACCGATTTCTCGCATAACGAGTCCCAATCTATCCATGCTTTGCTCCCCCTGGACCATCTAAAGGGGACGCCAGGCCGCAACCCACCACCCACCACTTCCACGCTTCCACCCCTCATATCTTTTCACGATGCCGTCCATCCTTAGCGACGACGACAAGGAAACGGTCAAGCGCTGCGTGCCCAAGCAGACCAACAAGATCCATGCCGTCGCCGTCGCCAGGCTCTATGTAGCCTACCCGAACCCATCTAAATGGACCTATACCGGCCTCCAGGGTGCCGTCGTGCTGGCAAACGATCTCGTGGGCAACACATATTGGATCAAGATGGTTGATATCTCGGTAAGTGTGGAAAAGACGATCATATGGCTGGACACCATTAGGCTGACATCGGACAGCCCGGAAACAGGGGAGTGATATGGGACCAGGAGATCTTCGATACTTGGAGCTACAACCAGGACCGTGTCTTCTTCCATACCTTCGAGCTTGAGGAATGCTTGGCTGGCTTGTCTTTCGTGGACGAGAAGGAGGCCAAGCAGTTCCTCAAGAAGATGAACGACAGGGAAAAGAACGCCAGCAAGGCTACCACTAAGACACCTTTCGGAGGCGCATCCCAGGCACACCACCACAAGCACCACGGTCTTTTCGGCGGTCTGTTTGGAGGACATAAGCACGCGTCTCCGACAGCCACCCCGCCCGAGTCGCCGCGCGCCGCTGCACCGGCAGGCCGTATGAGAGCTGGAAGCACCAATGGAATAAACGGATACAAACCTCCTTCCGAGTTTGCGACTCTGGATGCTTTCGATCCCCTGTGGAGGGAACACTTCGGTGACGACCTCAAGGCCCAAGGCCTCGACGACGACTTCATCCGCGAAAACCAGGACTTTATCATTGAGTTCTTGAAACAGGAGCAAGCGAAGCAGGGTATACACACGAGCACTCCGCCGCCGCCGCCGCCGCCATCCGCTCCTCCTAATGGTCCCGCAATGAGAGCTCCCCCACCACCTCCTCCTGCTGCTGCTCCACGCAGTGTCTCCGAGTCGATAACTCCATCGACCTCTAGGAGAGGGCCAGTACCCCCGCCTCCCCCTCCAGCAAGGAGATCCGGCAAGCTCGACACGGAAAACCACCAGGAACCGGCCCCTCCGCCGAGATTTGCTGTTCCTCCTCCCATCGCCGATGCTGGCAAGTTTGCCCACTCTGATCCCCCGCGACATACGCCCTCTGCCCCTGGACCTCCACCACCTCCCCGGCCGCCGAAGACGCCACTCGAAGATCAGGACCCGAGCCAGAGGTTCAGCGTTCCTCCGCCATTCACAGGCCAACGAAGTGTACCCCCGCCGCCTCCTAGCCGTAGCTCTGTTCCTCCGCCACCGCCCCCGAGAAATTCAACTGCGCAACCTCCTCTGCCTCCCAAGGCGCCGGGACCAGCACCTCCCCTCCCGCCTGCGAGCTCACGGCCGCCCCCCATGTTGCCGACTAGAAGCCCGGCACCACCGCAGGCACCGCCTCTCCCAACCTCGAACGCGCCGCCTCCGCCGCCTTTACCGGCCACCCAGGCGCCTCCACCACCTCCCCTTCCCGCAACCAGCGCGCCTCCTCCGCCACCACCGGCACCGCCAGCACCTCCGGCGCCCCCTCTACCCGCAGCACATGCTCCCCCGCCGCCGCCTCCCATGCCACCCATGCCCGCACCATCAGGCGGCGCACCGCCTCCGCCTCCGCCTCCTCCACCGGGTGGTATGGGCGGTGTTCCTCCCCCTCCTCCTCCCCCTCCTCCAGGTGGTATGCCTCCACCGCCCGCCGCTGCCTTGCCGCCTGTTGACGGCAGCCGTTCGGCCGTGTTGGACGGCATCAAGACCGCGGGAGGTATTAGGGCGTTGAAGAAGGTAGACAGAACCCAGATCCGCGATCGTTCCGGTGCTGCTATTCCTGGTGGCTCCGATAGTGGGCCCGCAAGCAGTGGATTGCCGCCCGCTGGAGCTGCGCCGGGTGGCGGTGGTGGAATGGCGGATGCGTTGGCGTTGGCGTTGCAGAAGAGAAAGGAGAAGGTTAGCAAGAGTGGTAAGTATCTGGATTATCCCTGGCTTGTGAAGTGTGAGAGCATGTCGAGAATGATGCTAACACTAGTGGAAAAACAGATGATGAAGATGATGGTGATGATTGGGACTAAGTGTCTGATACCAGCAATGACACGGTGAAGAGCCACCGGACAAAACCAAGGTTCCAAATAGGTGAAGAGTGCAGAAGGAATGAAAGCAAGACTGGATAGACACCGATATCCAGCCATCATCCATCCATCTGGTCATTAGTTGGCCATGAGGAGATGATGACGGCGAGGATGGGCCGTTGCTGGAGTAGGAGGAGGAGGAAGAAGAAGAAGAAGGAGAGGGAGGAAGAGGAAACAAGGGGTGGAAGGAAGCAAGGAATGAAAGGAAGGATGCAGTGTCGTTGCATACTATATATATATAGCTTCACCGTATTTGGAAATATTCGCACCTCATCACTGGTGTTTAACAAGAAAACAAAAGAAATTTAAAATCATACTTTTTTTTTCACTTTCAGCAGTACTATACTAGCCTTTTGTTCTCTGTTTCCCATGTTAACTTGATACTTTTCAAAGACAGCGGCGAGTGCTTGAAGAGGTTTCATTGATTTATATGTATCTTGAAGATTACGTACCTACCTACCTAGGACTGTTTGACAGTGAGTTAGTTGGGGTGGAAGAAATGGAGATATACTCGGTCCGTTACGCTTTTACTTGGTCGTTCCAGTGACCGACAGACACATCACGAGTGAACCAAGAAGCCTAGTATGTGATCGTACCAAAATACCATTTCCTAGCTCGAGAGAGAAAAAAAGAAAAAAGAAAGCAGACACGAGAGAGCCCCCTAAAAGAACATAAAAGACGTTTATGACAAAGCCATCCTATCATAAAAACAGCCTAACCCCTTTTAATATCCCAGAGTGCACGTAACCATCCTTTTTTCGTTGCGGATGGGTGATGCTCTTTATGTCCTTCGCCCCCTTTTTTTAACTTTTCCACTCTGCCAGCCTTCCTCCTTCGTCCTGCCTGGTTGTAGGACCTTGAGTCCCGCTAACCAACTAACCGGACCCAGGTAAATGACGTCCCTCCCACCATTGTACCTGGCTCCGATTTTCCTCCTCCTGATTTTGTTTGTAAAATTTGTTCTTGTCTTGTTACCGAAAAAAACAAAGAAATAACAGGCACACCAAACTGTCGGGGAACCAAACTGGCTGCTGTTAACGGTATGGTTGATGGGTTGAAAAAAAATGTGGGCTGGCTGCGTACGGCCGACACACACCGAAAACAGAGACCACCAGAATGGTTTGAGAGAGAAGACAGCTTTTTTGGACTTTCCTGGACGACCCCTTTACTTCCTGGCCAGACCCTTTGGGGATACCGACTTGGAGAGAAGGAGGTAAAAGGGAGTGGATAGGAAGAAGGGGGAAGTTGGGAAAGGGTGGCGTTATTTCGCATGTTTCGGTAACAATTTGGCGTTTGTTGCCTCTTTTCCTCTTAGGTGCCGAGAAGAATGAGGCGACGATAGGGTGTTGAGAAGGCGACGACACGTTTAGATGTCGTCGATATCAACGGCCTTGCCACCGGCCTCGGCGCCCTCCTCGTCCTCGGAGTCACGGTCCTCGTCGAACTCGAAGCCGCAGTCGCCGTCCTCGTTGGGGCCGAAGGTGTCGGTCTCGTTGATCTTGGCGGTGTCGGGAAGCTCGCCGTAGGCCTTCCTGTTGATGGGGGGAAAGCAAGTGGTTAGTAGGGCTGTCGTTGACAGGATGGAGAGCGGAAGGGAAAAAAAAGAAAAACGTACAGAGAACGGGCCTCGTCGGCAGAGTACTTGAGGATAACATCACCCTTCTCGTCCTGGTACTCACGGAGGGAGACAAGGATGATGTCACCGTTGTTGATCCAGATCTTCTTGCGAAGCTTGCCGCGAATGAGACCGAGACGCTTGACACCGTCGAAGCACTGAAAGCGGGGAAAAAAGTTAGAATGTGTGTTATGCTTGTAGGTAGTCGAACGAGGGAGGGGTGGAAAGGACATACCATAGCCTCGAGTCTGCCGTTACCCAGCATCTTGATGACCTGAGCGTACTCTGTAGCGAAAGACATGTGTGAGCTTGTTGTTCGTTTGCTGTTGTTGTCGAGAGGCATGGGCGAGCGTCGATGTCGCAGGTTTTTGCTGTGTGCTGTGTGCGTTTCGCTTGCTCGCCACACCGGGGTATTCACGTACCTTGACCCTCCTCCTTGAAGGTCAACTCGCGCTTCTCATTGCTGTTCGAAGTGGTTAGCCATATGAAGAAGCAAAGACTATGGTATGCGACTCCGTCGACGACGAGCTAGTATGCGCGCGCATCGCCATGGTGCTTGGTAGTGGCGGCGATGCGGGGCGGCGCGATGGGTCTTGGTCGTCGTCGGCGGGCGGGCAACACCAGGCAAAAAGAGCTGGAAAAAATAGATAAAAAATCCTTACTCGTTCTCGTTCTTTCCTCTTCTCCTGTTCTTACCACCCTTTCCCTTGTTCTTAGGCATGTTGGCTGTTGTTGTCGACGACTACGGGTGTCGGCTGGCCGGTGTGGGTGCGGTGTGTGAATTGGGTGTTGATGCGAGAAGAAAGACAAAAATCCAGCAACGGCTGCGTGGAGTGGATGACGGACTTGGTTGGGGGTCAAGGACTGCTGGAGCACTGGAGCACTGGAGCAATGGCGGGTTCTGGGTACCGGTCTTTCACACGCCCGCCGTGAAACGAAAGCAAGGCGTTTTGGTATTGTCGATGTGGTGGAGAATCTTTCCATGATACGGACTTGGGAGAATGAGTGGGAGACTGGGCTCCTTGTAGGGCAAAATGGGCGAAAAGGGGTGGCTCGGACCTTGTGCTGACGAATAAAAAGGTCCAAAGCGCAGGCAAAAAGGTGCAGTTGAGTCATGGCGGACTTCCGCAGTTCTTGGGCTGCCCTGTTGCATAATTATCACATAATATGCCCGTGGATGTGGGTGGCTGATTTTGGACCAAATTCGCTCAGTATGGTAAGGTAATACTGGTAAAATACTTGTGACAACGGCAACCGCACGTCTGATTCTCACCCACCACGGCTGTGTCTTCATCCATTGTCAACATGATCGGATGTTCGATTATTCGCCCATCAGCGCCAAACTTTCAACAAGCCACTAGTTGAGCGCAGTCGACTGGCCATCTTCCATGTCCTTGCCTTCTATTCCAAAGCGTGCCACTTCAGCTGGCCTTGTCGTTGACTTGGCGTCGACCATCAAGACCAGATGGCGACCCTTACGCCCTCTGATGCTTAGAGGCTGTGATCAACGGCGAGGCAAGAGCATGAAGGCCAAGATTCCGGAAGATGCAGCGCAAGGATACGGCTACACTCAGTTGAATTGGAGTCCTTATAGCGAGCCGGTACTATCGAAGAGAGTCAAGGCTCTGTCCGACGCGCTTAACATTGGAACTTATTACGACGTCAAGGCAGTCAAAGGGCAGGATCTTGCCAATGCTCCGTTCATGGTCTCGACGGCCACGAAACATTGCTATACGAGACAGTCGGTCATGAAGTACTTTGGTGTAGGAGAGCATCCTTTGACGGACATGTTCCTCCACCATTACACCTCCAAGAAGCATCGACCATTATGGTTGTTTGTCTACAATGGTGACGCCGACCTTCGTCCCGTAGTGAAGACTGTGTGCGTGAACAGGTTGAGGGAGGCTGTCCACAAGGCTCTGAAGGCGAATGGATATGGCCAGTGGGGGGATCGATTACCGGGATTTGACGACACATCGGTGCTTCACGGCACCATTCACGTTCGCATCTCACACGGCAAGGAGTTCATCCAGATGAGCGACCAGGAAATCCATGACGCGCTTGACAAACTGATGAAGAAGCATATCATCAAACAGCTCCAAGTCCCACAATGGCCGATGCAAGCTCAGTCTAGGCGGGTTCGTGTTGGCGAACAGTCGGCTCAAAACAGAGGATACAGCGATCAGCCGCAACAACGTGGGTCAGGGCAGCCAAGTGCTGGAAGTTATAGAAACACCAGAGAGACAGCACCAACCGACATGCGTGCCGGCAACCGGGTTTCGGAGCCAAGGGCGAAGGATGGAATTATCAAAGGAGACGGATCCAGTTCCCGTGTACAACAGCTTGCCGAACGGTTCCGAACGCGTCATCAAAATCCAGGATCGAACTAGGACTTGGGGACAGGATGAAGGTAGCTCTTGGTAGACTCGTGGGAGCAAACGCAAGTTGAGTGTCGACTTCTCCGAGGGGTCTCTATGTAGCCAGCTGTCTACTTCTACAGCATATAGAGTAACAGTAAGAGAACGTCCGAAGGATGTAACGCACATCAGAAGCGATCAGTATCAGTAAGATACCCTTATTCAATCACGAAGCCTCTCACAACAACACCCAAACCTGATATTCAAACACCACCAAGAACTTTAGAAGTCGAAAAGATACGTACCTTGTTGGAGTGGAACCATTCAGGGGAAGCATCGAAGTCTTGGCGCCAAGCACAGGCTCTCGAGGTGCGCGTTTCCGGCCAAGACTCCACATTTCCCGTCAAAGGAGCTGCTCCAGGGAGGTTCAGCACTGGACAGCCCGTCGCTGGCAGTCAGGGAAGCTCCAATTGAGGTCCAGTTTAGGCAATGAATGCCCTGCCCGTGGGATTTGGCGACAGCTTGTTGCTTCCCTTGCTCCTTGGCTCGAGTACACTACAGCTCCAGTATCACAAAGACAGGAATCAACCAACCAAGTCACCACTCGAGAATCGCCAGGGCACAGCTATCATCTGCAGCTTTGCAAAGAGGCCACACAGCACTTGAAATCCAGGGTCGAAGCTGTAGCTACCTCTACACATCTTCCCAAGCTTGACGACCTACCTCTCTCTACTTACCAACAATCCGGCCACATCCCCATCGCGAACCATCATGCTCGTCTCCCTGACCGTCGGCAAGGTCGACGCCGGCGTCACCGTCCTCCTAACTCCGGATAAGCGACTAGTATGTTTGGTTCCAGTAGTGACCCCAAGTCAAGGACCAAGACAAGTGTTAATCTCACCTTCTGATGCCAGATCGAGTTCCCCTCCATCCTCCTGCCCCCCGACATCTCCTCGGGCTCCATTGTCGACGTCACCGTTGCCCGCAACGTTGCCTCAGAAGACGAAGCCGAACGCGCCTTCCGCGCCCTCCAAGACAAGATCTTCAACGCCCTCGGTGCTGCCGAGCCCAAGGCTCCCAATCTCCGCTGTCGCAATGCCACCCAGACCAGCGTCGTCCTCGAGTGGGACCCCATCGATCTCGCAACCGCCGACCTGATCAGCCTGGCCCTCTATCGCAACGGCCAAAAGGCCGGCAACATTCCCAAACCAACCGCCATGCACTCGACCAAAATTTCGGGCTTGGCTGTCGACACCGAGTACACATTCCACCTGGTACTGCGCACAACGGCCGGCACCCTGGCCAGCGACAAGGTCGTGGTCCGCACACACAAGATGACGGACCTCAGCGGCATCACCATCACCACGGGCATCCTCCCTCCCGCACTCAGGGAGTCTCTGGCCCGCTCGGTGGACCGGATTGGCGCCAAGCTGGTCGACACCGTTAGAATCGATACCACGCACTTTGTCACCACCGAGGGCCGGGGCGTGCAATGGGAGAAGGCGAACGAGCTCAACATCCCCGTGGTCAGGCCCGAGTGGGTGGAGGCGTGCGAGAGGAACGGCAGGATCCTGGGTGTCACCAAGTTCTATCTGGATGCTGTCCGCGTTGGCATGGGACCGTCGGCGGCGGATATGGGAGGAAGCCCACCAATGCAGCATAATAGGAGTGTGTCTTCTGCGTTTTCACACAAGGAATTGCCGCCGCAGCCATCGCCGCCAGTCCCTCAGCAGCAGCAGCAACAACAACAACAACAACAGACGAGCCCGCCACCTACAAATGGGGTACGCAGTCCTGATGTGAACAAGCCTACACCACCACCGCCTGCTGAGCCCGAGCCCGAGCCGGCGCCTGAGCCGGTGTTGGTGCCAGAGCAGAAGCAAGAGGAGGAGTTACAGCCGGTAGCACTTGAGCCTAGTGTGGAGGCGACAACGACAGAGGTGCAGCAAGAGGACGATACTGGATCCGAGAAAGGAGGCGACCAGAGTGATATAGCGTCTGAACCAGAAGACAAGGCTATACAAGACGACGAGCCAAAGGTGCTTGACCATGCAAAGGAGGAGCAAGGTCTGCCAGTACGACTTGCTTCTCCAGTGGAAGATGCCGAGGTGAGCAAAGAGGGCGAAGATGAAGACGAGGACAAGAACGACAGTCTGAATCCCAAGGGAGGGAAATCATCTGATGGAGCGTCGTTTCAGGATGTTGCCCTATGACAGCTGAAGGGTTGAGACGAGGCTGAAACGAAGGATAACGAGGACCACGGACAGAGGGTTAGAAAGACCCATGTACGATTAATATGCAGTCTATGTGAGGGTTATCACAGCTGGGGGGGTAAAGAAGCGCGAGTCTGGCTGGGCTAGTCTACTTCATGGCGGAGGATAGAACTTTGATGATGGATCACGATTGTTACAGTTAATACACTTTACTTCATCCTCAAATCGTACAGTTCTGGTGCCAATACTTTCCATAAGCCGTATCCCGGTTTTAGTCTCCCCAGCCCGATTATTCATATGTCCCATCCGTTCCCTCTCATCGATTGCTACCATAACCCCACCCGAGCTTTCCAACCTTCTCAGATCTACTTTCAGATCTCTGATTTGTCTTGGCATCTTGGAATCGCACATGGTCCTCCAATGAATGCCAGATCGCTGGGTACCCTGGGGACGGCAAGAGCCGCATCCATGTTGGTGACGTCGATCAGTGACTTGATGACTTGCACACGGCGATGTACTAACAATAATGTCAACAAACGGCCATGTGTCATTGATATCGAGGACGACTGGAGGAGTGTCTTGGAAGATGGCGGGGACTCCATAGATGATGACATTGCTCGGTACCATTGTTGTCAGGCCGCGAGAGGTCGTGAAGACCGTCATCAATGTCACGACACCATCCTCCCTCATCAAAAACATTCTACTCTTCAACCAGCTTCATAACTGACTTTCTCCATTATACACACCACGATATCTTAAAGGATTAGGTCCTCAAAAGAAACAACTTCCTCCAAGAGCACAGCATAACCTTATCTCCAATCACCATTTACAGGAGAACGCGGCAACACCACAACAACCCTAACATTATCCCTTTCTCTCAAAACACCCCAAAATGTCTAAACCCTGGATTCTGCTCTGTCCTTCCTCCCGCGGCATCGGCCATGCCTTAACCCGACACCTCCTCCGAACTACCACCCTCCCGATCCTAGCCACCACCCGCACCCGCGATCCGGAAGAGACCAAAGCCGCCTTACTCAAGGACTTGTTCCCTAATCCTCAACCTCAACAGTCTTCCCCACCCACCGATTCCTCATCATCCGCCGCCGCCAAAGCTACCGGCCCGGGCGTAGCACCTTCCAGCAAAATCAGCGATTCCTCTTCAAGCGATACGTATCCTTATCCATCCCCGCCAGAACACAGCAGCAGCAGCAGCTCCGCCGACTCTTCTTCTTCTTCCGGTGATTCTGCCTCTTCTGCCTCTTCTTCTTCTTCTTCTTCATCAGCCACATTTTCATCCGCCGCCGCAGTCTCCTCCCGGCTACACCTCCTCCCCCTCGACGTCTGCCACGAAGACTCCATCCTCGCCTGCGCACAAAAGGCCTCCTCCCTCTTTCCGCCCGAGACGCACCACCTGCACCTAGCTTTCGCCCTCCCAGGTATCCTCCACCCAGAAAAGTCCGCAGCGCAAGTCGACTACGACCTAGCGCTGGACACGTACCGTGTGAATTGCCTGGGCCCCCTCATGCTAATGAAGCATTTCGGCTCGTTTTTACCTCGAAAGCGGACAGAAATCATTCACAACGAAAAAGGACTACCCAAACACGCCACATGGATCAACATGTCGGCGCGCGTCGGGTCGGTATCAGATAATAAGTCCGGAGGGTGGTACTCGTACCGCAGTTCCAAGGCGGCGGTGAATAGTCTGACGAAATCGTTTGATCATCAGCTTTTCAGCAGGAGTGGGGGAAAAGCGATTTGTGTCGGGTATCACCCGGGAACGGTCAAGACGGATTTGAGTAAGGGGTTTTGGGAGAGTAGTGTCAAGAGTGGCAGGAAGTTTTGGGAAAGCCCGGAGGAGGCGGCGGGGAATATGGCGGGGGTGGTTGCGGCGCTGGAGGAAAGCCAGAGGGGAAGGATTTGGGATTGGAAGGGGGAGGAGATTTTGCCTTGAAGTCTGAGTCGGTTGAGTGTCGGTGTTTATGAACATGGGAGGTGGGCGAGGAGGTGGTTGAAAGAAACAAATGGAAGTGCCTACACTAGACAAAGAGTGCGAAGTGATTGTTGGGCAGGATGGAGTGCATTGATTATCAATTTTTTTTAATTTTTCCTCGGCGATCTTGGTATTCGGTCATGGTGAACAATCGAATTTCTAAGGATGGGCATGGATTCATCTTCGTTATTCCTCTTTCCCATGTATGTATGTTATCCATCACTCTGTTATGCCGCTTTCAGGGTATCTACCCAAGCAAAGCACCCACCACCCAACATGCAATAAACGGCAAATCCACATTCGATTTTTTTTTTTTTTTTTTCGTATCCCAACAATCCATACTATCTCTGCCTACCTAGTTTCGTGCAAAAGATTGACCGAAGCCTCCAACGCTCGCAACTCGGCACAGAGACTGGCACGGTATGCCCTTATCCTGCTCATCGTTTCCGTCTCCTCCTCCAAATCCTTCTCGTCCATCGGACCAAATCCGATATCGCCGTTATTGTCTACCAGCTGTCTAGCCTCCCCGTCATGGCCCTCATGGACGGTACGATTGATCATTTGCTCGTCGTCATCGATACCGCTTGTACTCACCGCGGTTCCAATGGCTCCGCTGGGTTCGTTCCCGCCGCCGTTACCAGTCAACTCACGCATCAGCGGCTCGAGGGTGTCCCATCCGTTTCGGTTTTTGTTTCCTTCGGTACCGTTTGATGCGGCACTGGTCGTTGTTCTCCTGAGGGCTCGTTTGATACTTTTGGTATTCGTTGTGTTGTCGCTGTTGGCGGGTTCATAGTCACTGGATGTGTCCTCCGACTGCTTTTCTGTTTGTTGAGTGTGAGCTCGATAGAGGGAAGGGAACCATTCTTCCGTTTCCAAACTAGAGCGACTTGGGCCAGATAACGAGGGTAATGAGGGAAGCGAGGGTAGTGATGGCCACGAGGGAGGCAAAAAGGGTGGCGGGGAGTTGTTGCGTTGGTCTCGGTTCCGGCGGTGGTAGTAGTGGTGGTGGTGGTGCCTGGAGAGGCTAGAGGAGTTCAAGAGGGTGTATTGTCTCTCTGCTTTTGCCTCCCTTCCGTCTTGCGCTTCCCCTTCTTGGCGGCCTTCACGATCCTCCCCTTCTCCCCGGCCTGTCGCATGTCTCAAATCACCAGAAGAGACCCCATAACCATCCCTATCGTAGCCGCCGTAGCTGTCGTGTCCGTAAGCACCATACCCAGATCCGTTACCGTCATATCCAAGGGCATCATCTTCGTGGTACTGGTAGGTAACACCATGGCCATCATAAATATACCCATCCTCATCACTAGTAACCGCCAGTCCAATTCCAATCCCACTAATCGCCATTCCCACATTTTCCCTCAAGTCCCGTAGCCTCGTCAACGGATCGCGGCCATCATGGACATGGTGTCTGCTGTTTCCATTGTGTCCTCCATATCCCTGGTCACTGTCGTAACCAGAACCAGAGAAACTCCCGTTATACAAAGCTGTCGAATTCGCCCAAGTGGAGGAAATGGAAACAGCCAAGGGTTTTCCTTGTTGGTGACGTACCACCGCTCCTAAAGAAGACGAGGAAGACGAAGAATGTAGAGTCATCGTCTGCTGAACCCCGCGGAGGGGAGTATCGGCGAGCCGCCGCATAATCTCTTCTTGCTTCTTTCTGTATTCTCTCTTCTCTCGTCTTCGCGCTGCGGTGTCGGGGAGAAGGCCGTTGTAGGTCAAGGATGGAGGGAAGGGGGCGGGGCCTCGGGAGGCGTTTGTGCTTCTGCTATCACTGCCACTGCCACTGCCACTGCCACTTTCACTGCCGCTGCCAATGTTGACACCGTTTGTATTTTTCTTGTCACCGTCGATGATCCCATTGCTTATTGAACAGGAGTTGGCGGGACCGCTGGCGTGAGCGTGGCTATGATTAGTACGATTGTGTTTGTAGTCGTGCTTGTTGTCCACGGATCGGGATCGAGAGGAAAACGAACCAAGTCGAGGATCGCGGGGTAGACTTCGTACGCGACGAGCGGCGGGAAGAGGAGCAGGAGGAGGTTGTGTTGGTTGAGATATGACTGTGTATGTACTGCGAGCGGTGCTTGTATCCTTGTGACTCGTCACCAACGGGAACGCCCGACCGCCACCACTGGTAATCGTGCTGCAGGTATTGTTCGAGCCAGCGACAAGTGTCGGCTTCGAATGCGGTGTTGGGCTTCGTACCGGTGTGAGCGTTGGCTGAGCGGACAAGGAGGTATTGGTGCTGCTACTGCTGGTGCTGCTGCTGGAATTGCTAGTCGTAGCAGGGCTCGCGTTGGAGCGGGGATGTTGCAAGTGCTGTGCGGGCGATGTCAGTTGTGATCCTGTCGTCAGATTACTGCTACTAAAGTCGGTGGTGCCGGTGACACTGTCGTCGATGGTGGTGTTGCCGAAGGTGTGTTGAGAGGTTATTGACCCGCGATTGCTGGCCGAGACTGTGCTGGTCGTAATGATGTTGTGCTGGTGGTGTCGGCCCCTCTCCTCCATATCATCATAGTCGTCGACTTGGTACTCGTACCCGCCAGGAAGTTGCTTCGTCACGGTGGTCAGCAACCAACTGTTTCTGTTTTCCAGCTGACGAAGTCGGTTGCGGAGGATATCGAGCTCTTTTTTCTTGGAGTGACGGAACTCTTCGCATTGCTGCAGGAGATCGATGTGAGAGCCGGAACATGGGACGCCTGTTCTGCTGAAGCAATTGTTGGAGGAGGAATAGAGCCGTAAGGGCGGACAGATGATTTGGCTGGTCCTTCTTAGCTGGAGCGACTTGTTCAGATTGGAAGAAGGTGCTGGCAGAGGAGTCGTCTGTGGAGTTTTTGAGTCGACGACTGAACTGGGTACCTGCAAAGAATCTGTCAGGACAATATCTGACGCCTGTTCAAGTTCGCCATCTTGTCGATTCGTCCCTTCTGGCTGCGACGGTCCCAAGCTAATGCTGCTCCTGCATGACAAGGGCTTCAGGTCAGCTACGATCATCACCGTTGAGAAGCGTAGCGGTGGTAGCTGTACAGCCTCGACCTTTTCGAGCGCCGAGCTCGACGCCTCTGCATCAGGCTCGGTCGAGTACTCCGCCGGCAGATCAGGCGGAGTGTGGAACGCTGCCGACTGGTTTCCATCCGTCTTGACACTTTCACCATCGAGAGAATCATTTCGCTTTCGCGGCTTTCTCTTCGTGAAGCTTTTGTAGGACCAGAGACTTGGTTGTTGTCTCAATTGCTGGTCCGGCAACGTCCTGAGTTTATCAGAAGGAGTAGCTACCCACGAGAACGAGCTTACATCCGCTGATCCAACACTGTCTCTCCCAGTAGCGGTACCCAGCCTGTAATGGGAGGTATCGGATGACGATGGCTCAGAAACTTCTGCCAAATTCTCACCACTGCCAACTTCTCTATCCAAAGATTCTTCGGTACGATCTGGGTGGTCAGGTAGCTTGAATCCGAAGCTCATCTTGGACCGACGATCGAGGCTAGACTGTGCCGTCGACAGGCAGACGCTCAGATGAAAAGAGCTAGTCGGCGAGAAAAACTTGGGTAGAGTATGGTCTTGACAAGATGTCAGCTTTGGCGAGCTTGAACTATCAGGGCCATCATCAACATCAACCGAAGCTTTCTGGGTTTGAGGAGGCAGTGGCTCGGCCGAGGGGGCTATAAAGCCCGACACCCGCTGAAGGCGGTTGAATCCCTCTGCGGGAAGCAGAGGTGATATGCCCACCCCGTCGTTAATCGGAGGTATGACAGGTGTGTTGGCCAGGACTGGTATTTGTCGCTCGTTTGACTCTTGTTGCTCCACTAGAGTCTCTAGACCAATGCTGGGCCTAGGCGGTCTGATGGGAGTCCCAGTGATGGGGGATTTGGGTGACAAAAAACCAAAGCCAGGCGACCTGGGGACTGGGCCTAGGTTGAACGTGCGCTGGGCGGGGATGGAAATAACAGTTTGTCGATGGCCGTCTTCCGTAATATGTGTGGTTGTAGTGGCTCTATCTGCAGCTGGGCGTTCTGGTACCACAATCTTGGGCGGAGCTGGCTTTACCCTTTTCTTTGTGGATTTGGAGGACTTCCTCTTGAACAGTCTCCAAAGCCCACCGCGATGTTTCTTATCGTCAGCATTGCCTTGGTCTTTGTAGGTGGGCAAAGGCTCGGGAGGAGGAGGAGGAGGAGGAGGAGGGGGCGGCGTGCTCCGAAGAGACTCATTCATTCTGAATAGAGCCTCACGGTCGCGGTCGTTTGCGTCCTTAATCTTGGTTTTTAGCTCGTCTTCATGGGCGTCTGGATGGTTGAATATATCGCTGAGGATGCTTGAGGCGTTCGAGAGCACTCGAAACCTTTTCGGTCGGATCAGCTGCCGCATATGGATGTCGGTAAAGTTTCCAGACGATGCTGTCCCAGTAGTCACAGCCGGCGAGATGGGCGGCTCGGACAGACACAGGCCACGCGGCGGCTGCAAGCCATGGTCATTGCTGTTGGAGGTATTGTCGACTGGGCGATGTTTATGGCCGTTGGCACCACTAACGCTCCCGCTACCACTATTGGGAGCTGGGAGAGACGTCATGGTTGTCACAAACGCGAGGAAAAGGACGCCATGTAATATGTTCCTCTTTTCTTGTTGGTCAGCTTTTCTTGTGTTTGCGGCTTTCCGAAGGTTGCGGGCACTTACACAGACCCAAGAAAGGTGTTTTAAGCTAACAGCTCGAAGCAAACGGATGATGCTTGTGATAGAGTTCAGGATCAAGATGGCCCTTCCTCGCGCGGAGTAAGGCGCAGGAAATCTAGTTTGGTGTTCTGAAATCAAGTGGCCAGGACAGCTCGAAAACAGTGACTCGGCAACAACTGGAGGAGGATGCAGGTAAATCTGCAGCCGATAATATCCACATCATCTCGCTTTTCTCTATCTTGTACATTAACGCTTCTGGATGCAGGTTGCAAGTATGAGCCTCCATTCTATCTAATCATGCAGTTAAAGTCTGGAGAGGGGCCATCAATAACCATTCTATGCATCAGCATGTCCGCATGCAGACATTTCCGTCATCATACATCCAAGGCCAGGACTGATGGATGATTGTTGACGGGCAAGTAATCATTGGCAAGAAGCTATTTTAAAACCTCCCTGTGTTGTGCTTCTCTTCCTTGTTGTCTGGCAAACGTTTGTTCTTCTTGTCGGTGCACCTGTAACGGGGATGGACGCCTCGGGTATATAACTTACCTCACCACTACCTTTTCCCACGGCTGGCAACACTCAACAACAATTCACACACATACGACCATAGGCACCAGGGCAAAAACTCGGGATCCCGTCCGCTCTCCCCTAGATAAGCCGGTGACCGCCAGACTAGTAGTCGGATTGGTGACGACCGGCGAATAACCTGGTGTTGTATGTCTTTTTTTTTTCTCATATTTCCTTTTTTATGATTGGTGGTTCTGTCTTTCTTCTACCCTGGAAGGCACGCTGAGGAAGCTTGTTCAGTGTGGAAGGAGCACTTGATCTATCTACTCAACCCGCATTGCTTGAGATTGATTTCGCTTCCCTTGGCGTTAAGGAGGAATGCGCGTTGAGGAAGCGTGTCATTCGAAATCGACACGGCGTGAGAAGAGTGCGAACAATACGATGCCAAAACAAAGTCTCATAGAGGTAGCTACCTACCTAGTACTTAGGGTCTGTGTATGGAAGGTACAATCATCACATGGCCGTGGGTAAGACAGCGTAGTCGGCAGAGGTGAAGCGCGCCACTTCAGTCCGTAACTGCCTTCTTATCTAGAAGCAACGGCGTTCGAATCTGTCCTCGGGCACGTTCGGGCAACCTTTTTTTTTCTTTTTGGGAGGGGTGTTTATTCCTCTTTTTTTCTTTTCTAGTAGCCCATTAGGTACATAGAGTACCTCAATATATCGTACTAATCCACATTGATTGGAACAAGATGGAGTTTAGCTTGGCCACCCACACCCAACAACATTAGAACGGACCTACCACAATGTGCGTGGTCAAATCAACTTGCTCTTTGCTGTAAAGAGGGGGTTGCTGTTTTTCCAATTTCTTTTACCGCTACTGCATGGACCTTTTCTCTGTCTGCCAAATTCCCCGTCATGCCATTGCACTGCGGATATACGGGATTTCTGTCGGATTGTTTGTTCCCGAGCTACTTTGATCGTCGGTGAAACACGATAAGTCCAACCGGACGCTTGGTGGGTATCGATTACCCGAGAACCAAGTCTACGATTCCGGTTCATGAGGGACAGGCGAAAACCTTGAGCGATCAAACGAGGCAAGAGCATAGGAGTCCATGTCATAGCAGTCAGCTCGGCTAATAACACTGGCTAGAATACCGAAAGAAAACACCTATACTAACAGTCAAATGGGACATGTTTGAATATGAATACCAAACCTGTGAATCTAGTATACAACATGACCATGACGACCAAGTAGTGGTGGAGTGATGCAAATGTCAATTCTTGACCGTAGTCTTGTCAGTCGGTAAATGAGTGAGGGAGAGAGTCAATGGATGTTCCTAATGGGTTTATGGGTATCATTTGTCTATCGGTGGATTTGAGAAGCGAGCATGAAGTGGTGTTTATTAGCCGAGGTAGGTTGATAGATGTCCCTCGTTTTCGCCATCCAGCCGTGGTACTGTATCCCAATTTGTTCAGACCTCCCACCAAGTAGATGATCTCCAACAGCCAGCCGAGAAAGTATGTCGTGTGCGTCCGAGGCGTCACTGGCTTTGGGTGTGGTAATAATGTTTTGTTTGGACCGCCCGCCGCCCTTTCCACTCACGGCCTCTCGTCCTGCGAGTCTGTTTGGTTCGTTCCCTCCGGTGTGGTCCGTCCAGGACTCTTTTTTCTTTCTCACAGTTCCTCGGTCAGGATTTCTTCCTTTTCCATGCTCTTCCTCCCGTCCGTCATCATAAGAGGGGTCAACTAGCCAGCATCATCGCGCTCGCAGGGCAGATTCGTGTATGCTGTTATTCATATGCCGTCGTTCCCTCGCTTGCGTAACCCTCTTCAGAATCCAATAGCACCACTCTTCTCGTCGATGTGACGGAAGCGCTCCCTCTCCCTGCGCTCCTTCAGCAGACAAGCGGTCGCCATGATAAGGACAACGTCGATACCAACCATGCCGAAAACCGCAGTAAAGATGTTGTCGATCAGGACGTTGGCGAAGGAGGTGATGGGGGTCGAACATGGGCGCATGAGCGCGGCGGCAGCTGGGCTGGAGCAGATGTCGTCGGTGATAAAGGCGGGGGAGGTGCTATTGAAGTAGCCGCAGCATTTGAACTGGAGTTATTGTTAGCGTAAATGCAGCTATAGGTAAGAAGATGGGATGGACGACATACAGCTGACTGCATCAGCTCCTGAATCTCAGGAGGCTGGCTAAAATAAAAGGGAGCAAAATCCGCCTTGGTCTTGAGGGTCATGATCCAGAGGTAGAGACCGATGATGAGGCTGAAGATACCGCAGACGGTGGTCATCCAGCCGCCCAGCTTGAGCCATCCTCGTGCGGGGGTGATTATACCGGGAATAGTGAAGAGGAAAGTGACGAAGATGAAGACGGCATTCACGATACCGGCTATACCAGGGTTTGTTCCGTCAGCGATGTGAACCATAGGTCAAGCAACGTGTCGACTTCCAGTCACCCACCTGTGAGAGGAAATCTCTGGTACAAAAGATTCCTTGCTGCTTGTTGTCCTTCTGTAGGGACCTCAAACTGGATGTTCTGAACAATGACGGAGAAAGCGATCATGAAGATGCCCATCAGGAGGAAGAGGCCATCGGCGACCACATAGGCCAGAAGCACTTTACTCATTGTATTTCTTGTAGGTGTTGTCTCGTGTGTCTGTTGTTGTTGATGAGCAGCCTTGACTTGAAAGACTCGGCTGCCCCCTTTGACTCAGTCCGAGATGATGTTCGTTCTACGGGCTCGACAGAGTGTTTGTTTTCTTGTAGTTTTCAATATGGAAATGACGACCGGCGTCTTCGTAGTGGTGAGAGACTGTACGGAGTATTAAGGAGCGAAAGATACCGGTGAAATCGACCTGCAATTTCAATCGCGGATGGAAGAGGGTGCCAAGAGGCAAAAAGAAGCGAAGGATGGACTGAAAATGGTATATTCTTTTGGTGTTTACCCGATCATGACATCGAAAGGAGAGGTCGGACTACATAGCAACCCGCCGAGACGACAAGTAATGGAAAATTCGGAGAAGGGCACGGAACAAGCAATTCTGGGCACAGCCAACCAGCCAGGGCACGATCAAGAAGACAAGGAGAGAGAGTAGAGACGTTCCAGAGTCCAGACATGGGCGAAGACTGGCCACATGACGGGGGGTATCCCACCTGGCGATGGCTTCAGGAAACAGAGACGAGGGGACGATGTTACTGTACGGAGATGAAAAGCCAGGGCAGCACTACCATTGCGCGACTCGCATCGGATGCTTCAGACCGAGATGTTTGTAGGAGAGTTGCCTGTTCCTGACATGAGTCGTTTCAGATGTCGTTGAGTGACAGGCGTTCACAGGGGCCTGGGCGGTTGAACGGTCGTTGCCAAGACTGGCGGCGGTTAGGGACTCGTCCCAAAGCCTACGAAATCAGGGGTTTTTGTTAAGACACGTGCCTCTACGCGCCCTGTGCTGCCTCTGAAAAGAGGCTTAGAGACGATGCCGAGGGTGAGGGCGACAAATCTGGATGAGAACGAATGTCACCAACCAATCTGGGGACGGGACTGGTGGACCATCAGAAATCGAACGACAAGAAGGTCAACATCAAACAGGAGGCTTGCTTCATCTTTTTCAAAACCTCAGAAGGTCCGTCTCTCTTCTTTTTGTTCTTTTTGACATTCATTGTCGACACTTTCACAAACTCTTCGCCCTGTTCGAAACGCCGCCAAACGCAGACGCTCAAGTGCACAGACCTGGAAACCCGAGCTTGACTGACCGCCGGCTTTCTCTGTTTTGCAGGTTGCACTTAGACATTTGGTGGCGACGGTCTCGACAACAGCGTCATTCATGCGAAGACACACACACACACACATAACTACCGCCGACCTTGCTGTGTAGCAGCTGGGCGAGATACTGCTACGATCCGTACTCTGAATTGTACACCTTGGGACCCAAGGGTCACGGTTACACGGAAACTGCACCGCCGCGACGACACCGCTCTCACCAGAAAGACTCTTGACTCGAGCTCCGAGTAGATGGTATATCACCACCAGCCTTAGCTCTGACCGGTTGGCATTTCACCATGTCTTTGGATCTCGTTACGGGTTGCTCTCTGACTTTGTCCGCCATGCTTCTCGTCCTCAGTTGAGACTGGCTTCAAGTGGTTGCGCTGCTTGGCGCAGAGTCATTGCGATAACCCTCCGAACGCCGCAGCCGCAAGACATGACGGGGCTTTTCTTTGATTCCGTGCCTCGTTCAAAGATCAGCAACCGGACACGTCGGAGTTTATATTGGCTGTACTCAGAACAACTGCGAGCTGAATCGACGACTCCAGTTGATGTCTTGTTGTGTGTGGGTTTTGTTTTGCTCACGAGGCTCTGGCAGGCGTGACTTGTAGGTAACAAACAGTCAGCAATTTGTAGCCATCAAGACAGGTGTAGAACACTCGTCTTGTTGATTTGCTGGAGATACTTGACCGCCAACTTTCAGCTTCAAAGGGCATCGACTCGCATCGCCCTTCAGTGGGTCAAAGTCATCGGCAAAAGACTCCCGTCCGATGCACCTTGTTCGGCGCTGGGTGCTGCATCGACGCGGGCCATCAACGTCCGGTCGAATGATCGGGTTTCGTTCTTCTGTTAGCGCGCCCGGTCTCCAGTCAGTCCCTAACAACCAAGTGGAATATGAGCGAAGCGTGTAAGCAGCTTTGACGCAAAAGTCATTATGTATGTGTGTACACTATGTACACTATCGACTCGGCTATTCCATCAGCTTTGCGGAGTATCCCCAGACACCTCGGTCATTGTGTTTCTTTTGCCGGCATTTTCACCACCTGGGCTTGTGATGGTGGCACACTGAATTTTGTGATGATTTGACCCAAAGGGGAAATCTGTTGTGCTGCTGCTGCTGCCGGAGCCCGTCCGATGGCGTCGGTTGTCACAATGGCTTCATAGCGGCGCGGGTAGAGTCTGGTCAGCAACCTACCTACTAAGGCATGATTCCATCCTTCCGGGCATTGGGAGACTGGCCCCTGGCAAGCGAGGACGAGACGGGGCAAGTCTGTCCGATCAGGACAAGTGACAAAAAGTGTACCTGACCCGTGTCTGCCTGCCTGCCTGGAAAAACTCAATTCAATTGCCTGAAGGTTGCCCACCTCGACGCGGAGACAAGGGGGGCCCTACTCCGTTCCAGGCCGTGGCTTTGACCCGCTAGCCAATCACAAGTGGTCGTCATTCCGTAAGAAGAAGCTGCTGCTCATTTCCTGTTTTCAGCAACCCACTTGCCCGTTTTCGACCACTTTCCTCCGCACTTTTCATTGTCCAGTCCTTCATCGCTTGCAGCTGTGTCTTGTCTCGTGCAAGTGCCACCGATTCATTCCTCTGATTCAATCTAATTACTTGCTCAAAGTAAAGTTCATGATTTGACAATGGGACGGGAATCGGAAGGAACTGAAGTCTGCCGTGATGATGGCATCGTCCACCTTTTCCATCTTCGCACTTTGCCGTCTGTCAGTTGCCTGTTCCTGAACTGCCGTTACTTTCCGGGCACCTCATCCCTCGTCCCATCCCTCAGCCTAGCATAGTAGTACTACTGCATGCCATCCCACACTTTTCCTATCCGAGGAACTTGTCAAGCTTGCCCGCGAAATCGATTATTGGCCATGGCACACAGCCGAATCCCGCCTATCCATCATTTCATCCTCTCATTAAACTCTGCATACCTTGGAGCCTCTCCACAACTCATCCCAACACGGCCCCAAATATTGCTTGCTCAAAAGCTTGTCAGGGCAAACTCTCTCAGCTTAGGAGGCACCATGGCTTCAGTCAGGTCCAAGGGTGAGGTTACATTGTCGACCCCAGTTCTTCTCCCTGCCACTGTCGTCGGAACCCACAAATCCTCCTCACACGCAATCACGCGCTATCGCGTACCCCCCCGCTTCTCCCATCCTTGCAGGCACTATGCCTGGGACTTCTCCAATCTTCGACCACTGTGCGCGCGAGCCTCTCGCCCCGGTCGTCCCAGGGGGTGGGGCACCAGTGGGCAGCAGAACGAAGCAGAGCGGCACAGTGGAAACAAAAGTCCAGCGCAGTTCGTGGGCAAGCTCCACCGGCACACGGCCGGCCCAGCAACACACACAAAGCTCTTCCAGCCCATCCATCCCTCCGCGTCCCCCTATCTCTCGCAATTGGGGGGAGGCGTCATTCCGGACTGACACAATCATGAATTTCACCCATTTGCTACCTAGCCTCTCCATAAAAACACTTCTCGGGGCCGATTACTCTCTCGCTCGCTCGCTCTCGCCAACCCAGACAAGCAAAACCCCCCTGGTATTCCCCTGGTCCCGTGCCTAGCCGGACCCATCAATAGCACGGGTAAAGGTAGCATGGTGTTCTCTTTGCGTAGGATGGCTTCGAGATAGCAGAATAACACCTGCATACTGTACAACAGGTACCATGTCTGATCATCAAGGTACGCTGGCCGGTACGGTGACGGGACCCGCACAACTTTTACTACTGTCTCAAATGGACGGTCTGTGTACATGAATTGTCCGAACGTTGAGGATGCTGCATACCGCGGCGTTTCGTGGATCATGATAATCGTTCCGAGAGATTGGAAGAGTCAAACCAAAGCGGGCGGACGGAAAACGTCCAGTGCTACTGAAATCCTTCTGCGGCTGTCCATGATAGGCAAGGTTCCCATCTTGTCTTTCTGCCTCTGCCTCAAAAAAATAAGGGACTTGCACATCTTTGAAGGTAGCAAAGGGCTGCAGAACGACATATCACAGGCGGGATAATCTTTAGGGAGCATGCGCAAGTACGGGGTATCGACAATCCAATCGAGATCGTGGAATAATTCTACACTCTTCACAAAGGCACTGACAGCGGGTAATGAACAGATCTTGACGACCACCACCACCAGACCGGTGACCTCCCCACACATGCATCATCCATCTCGTTCGATTTTTCGATGTCTCAGTTTCGACGTCGAACTGTACATGTTATCCAAATAAAGACGAAAAAGAAAAGAAAAATGAAAGAAGAAAAAGGGCAGGTATCTGTCAAACCACACTCGGCAACAAATCCATTGGACGTCACGGACCCCTATGTGGTTCCGGGCCCTTTAAGAACCCTTGGAGGTGGTGTGGGCTGGCCTATCCCAGGTCCTGGGCGAGTCTGGGAAGCATTGGGAAGAAGAGATGGGCTGGCTGCAATCTGGGCTGGGCTGTCGGCGAACTCTGCAGACCATTGAGATTGCTATCCTAGATGCAAGTGTCCTGCCGGATGCCTTACGCGAAAGCACTGTTGACTCTCGCTTCTCTTTGTTCTCAGACTCCTGTCATTTCGTTTTCCACTATTCGAGTGATCCGCGCACAACGGGTTTATGTCTCAGCCTTCGAAAATAAGAAGTAGTATAGAACAATGAGGCTGGTGAGGGAGGGAAAAAAAAAAAAGAGAAGAAAAAAAGAAATAAAACTGAAAATCAGGCGAGTCCGTTGACCGGATACCCCCGCCGCCGCCGCCGCCGCCGCCGTTGTCCGTCCGGGTACAATACGCCAATCGCTCCTTGGAGCGGCATGCCCTGTACATAGTATGTATGTAGTACGTGCGAAGCGTTTTTAGCAGCCGAGTTGCCCGGTTGCCCTACGGAACCAAGACCATGAAAGGCACTGAGCGTTTCGTGGTCTTTCCTTTCGATACCCTGTATGATTTTCCCCGCTGCGAGCTTTAAGAGAGACAAGACGGAGGCTGGGGCTGATAAAATTAAACATCCGCGGCTTTGGAGGCCGATCACTCGGGAACCAGCAAAATTGCCCGTAAAAGGCTCGGAAATATCAACAAGTCCAGTCGTTACTGCACCGCCCACCCAGCATCTTCCGTCCGCTCCAAATCCGGATCTCAAACAGCAACTCGGTCACAGTCGGTCTTCATCTGGTATGCACTGTGCGTGAGACGCGTAAGTGGGCAGGTGTACTTACTAGTAACAGGAACAGAGCACCGACCGCCCGGCCCTCGACGTTGCCCCTGCTGACGAAACCCCGGCTCCTGGACCCCAAAGACAAACTAAGAAATTCCCAAGAAAGCAACACAGTGGACTTGAGAACATGGCCGCGCCGCCGGTCGACAGAGCCATAATCGCCGAGAAAAAAGGGACCTTTCAACCACGAACTTGTGCCTTGTGTGCTTTGGGGAAGCTTTCGGAAACTAACCTTTCTGGCTCTGGCTGCACGAAGCACGAACAGGGCCTCCGTTCCGATGCTCAGGGGAACGGCGGGTTGAAGCGGGGCGGCGCCGTTGGAGGAGTCTCATTCGATTCGTACAAACACCTCCATGTTCGGTTCGGTCTTGACCCACGCCATACTACCGATAGCGCAACCCGCAGGTAAGCACGGCAGGGCGTTCATTCCAGAGACACGGACACGGGGACCTTTAATTCAATTCCACTTCTCATGATACCACATACATACATGCCTTTGCTGCTGGGTGAGAGAAAAGGTACAAGGACCAAAACAAAACCGGTCTGTAATAATCTCCTCCCTCAGTGCCGCTATGATGATGGGTCTCCTCCTCCACCTCTTCTTCTACATATGTCAATGTCCCCTAACATTGGTTTCACCACTGCAAAGTACTCTTGTTTCGTGCGCCTCGGAACGCGACAGTACATATCTAGTTATTTCTGCAGCCACTATTGTAGGTTCTACATAGTAGGTAGGTAGGCAAATTACCTTATCCTGGTCATCACAAGTTCGGTGAGGGGCACAGGGCAGGTGATGGACGGGATTATCGAGGATTCCCGTCGAGGGTGAGTGGGCTGCATGCCCGTGTGGAAAAGGTGAGATAGGAAATGGGGCCTAGCATATGTAATGAAAAGGGGAAGTCTGGCGTTTGAAGGTGGTGGATGGTGGTGGTGGTGGATGTTGGCCGGGAACAGCAAGCCAACAACAAACATAGCTTTCCACTTGATCTATTCTTGCTGTCTACCTGTGCAGCTCCAGTGTCCGTGTGTGCTTCATTCTATTCCATCCATCACAGTGGGCATTTTGTTCCAGTTTGCTAATGGAGCGCTTGCAAGTGAGTGGTGGTGCTCCAAAGAATGGAGCCTTTTTTACCAGGCAATCCCCGTTCAAGTCAAGTCGGAATTCCATGGCTCCATCGTCGAGTAAAGGTCCGTGCGACGACAGGTACAGGCAAGTACCTTGGCCTTATGCTGGCACGTGCGTGAGCCAGGTACCTAATACCCTACCACTCCCACCTTTTCGAGCAACTCGCACCTTTCCTCTCTCGGACATGGAAACTTCTCTCTTGAAGCACCAAGCAACTACCTTAACCAACCTCCTTCGACCTTGCAGTGCAGTGTATGCAAGTGCAGAAGAAGAACAGAACAAATTCAGTTTGAAGGAATCCACAGATACGACCGTTGACTGTCAGTACTAATCGCTTTCCTCCCTCCCTCCCTCCCTCCCTCCCTCCCTCCCTCCCTCCTTCCTTGTCATCTCATTCCCTTTTGTTTTTTTTTGTTTTTTTTTCAACCGTGGCCCGTAGCGCCTGTGCTGTGGTGAAAGTGGACGGTGGCACCAGGTTTCGCTATCCTCTTTTCAATCACTCCGCAGTCGCCCAAGCCCTTTTCAGGCAAGATTGTCAAGCTGCAACCGACTGATTGACATCTGCTCCGCTTCCTCAACAGGGGCAGAAGGAAACCCAAAACCACCCAAAACGTGCAATTACACTGCAATTTGACAGGTACGGTACCTACATACACACGCAGCAACAATCTGCCTTCTCTTTTTCAGCCGCTTTCCACTTCCTCGGTTTGAGAGAGCTTCCACTTCTCCCTGAGGTGCCTCACCTTCCACTCCGATATCCACGCCCCATTACAAGTCCCGTTTCTCGTTTAATCCCCGGCCGGCTCCAGTCCAGCCCAGGCAGTCATCCGCCCGTCCCTTCCCACCGAGCCTTATACCGAATACCCACGGTCAATCAAGTAGAGGTACCCTTCAACAGTAACACCTCACTACTGCACAAAGCTTCCAGCTTGGTCAGGGTGCCCAGCCTCGAGCTTCACCATTGGATCCCAGGAGACTTGTTCATTCAACTAGTCTACTGTGTGTCTCGCACTGTCGCTCACCCACCTCTTTCTCACTGCAGGTCGATTATCAGCGGAGGCCCTTGTCTGCCCGCCTACCCACCAATCAGTCACCCCCCAGTGCACACACTCCCCGCCGTACGGATTACATACATACATACTCTACGTCCTTTTACATACCTGGACCGTCCACCCCCAGCAACCTACCTACCCCCCCAGGCTCAAGTGAAAAGAGTCAAACAAAGCAAATAAAAATTAAAAACGTGATTCCTCGCTTCCTTCCGCCGTCGGCACACACAGACTCAATACAGTGCAGCGCCCAACCAGGTTTCCGCGACAAAAGGCAGCCTCTCCGCACACTCCAGATCAAGCCTAGGCCATCGGCACAACGCTCAAAACAGCATCTCCACCAATTCTACCTTTTTCAGCATCTTCGTGGTACCTTGAACCTCACATCCCAAAATGGCCGACATCACCGATCAGCACGAACAGACCTCGCCCACCGAGCTTGACGACGCGCATGCCGTGGGCACTGGCAATGTCAACAACAACGAACCCCGCGGTGTTAAGCGCGCACGCCCGGCCACGGCCGATGACGATGATGATGACGATGACAAGGGCGGCCGCGAGCGCCGCAAAATCGAAATCAAGTTCATCAGCGACAAGTCGCGTCGCCACATTACCTTTTCCAAGCGCAAGGCTGGTATCATGAAGAAGGTACGTTTTAGGCTCAGAAAGCAAGCTGTCATGACGACGACAAATCTCGACATGCGTGCTGGCGCCGGTGGTCCATTGTCTGTGTATTCTGTGTACCCAAGCAACATGTCACTAACCTTGTTCTTGCTGCTTTAGGCCTACGAGCTTTCCGTATTGACAGGAACCCAAGTACTGCTACTCGTTGTTTCCGAAACCGGCCTGGTCTACACCTTCACAACTCCCAAGTTGCAGCCTCTCGTCACCAAGGCCGAGGGAAAGAACTTGATTCAGGTATGGGCTAAAAGGCGCCTTGGTTTGCATTGAACTTTTCTGACCTTCTCGCTAGGCATGCCTAAACGCCCCCGAGCCCGCGTCTGCCGAGAATGGCGTGGACGACTCTAATGCGGTTGACTCGCCCGAAGAGCCCTCGAGCGCCCACCTGCCTCCCCAGCAAGGCCGACCTGGCATGCCGCCCCAAGGACACATGCCTCCCAACTACATGCCCGCTGTCGGCGCAATGGATGCCCAGCAAGCGCAAGCACTGGCGTATACAAACTACGTACAACAACAAAGAGGTGGCCAATACATGCCTCAGCCTGGTCTGCAGCAGCATGCCGGTCATCAGGCATAATTATATTCAGGGCGGCTCTTTTCATGACTTCAGCTTGCGCGATAATACCCAGCATTAATGCATTCATGAAGTGTCATTTCCCCGATTCGACATCGTTAGGGTGCCCCTCGTCGTTGCGTACGAGGGTTATGCCAGCTTGGCGTTCGGTTGGGGTGTTTGATACTGTTTCTCATCTCTTTTTTTACAACTTCTTGACGGTCCTTTCCCCCTTGTTTCAGGTTCCACGGAATTCATCTCATATCCTCTTATATCCCAACTCTGCCGTCCGTGGGTGGCAGGGTTAATCGGTTAAACTACTTGATTTGTTGTGTTGGGGGCAGCAACGGTCGATTTGCCCTGGAGATCAGTGAGCATTTGGGCCCGTGAAGGGCGGTACATGCGAGCATTCGCAATGGGGCGGGATCCGGTAACGGTGTGATGTACGAATGGCAATGTCACGGGGTAAATGGGAGGCTTATTTGCGTATGAGACGGTGGCGTCGGCTTGGTGGTAAACTTGGCGGCTCGCATTTTCTGGGTTTTCCAGGCCAGGAGCGGTTCTCGACGTTTGCTTTGGTAAAACAAGGTTCATGTCAGGGGGGCGTGGCACGAAGTTACGACCCAATGAAGGCTTCTACGTTTACGAATCGGACTGCGTCAACAAACTTGTTCAGTTTTGTTCTAGTCTTTGGCTCTGCCATGGAACGAGTATGGCGTGGCTTCTTTAGTATGACAAGAAACTGTCTGCTTTCGCCGCTTCAACCTCATTTTCCGCTGTCCTGCACCCCGTCCGATTCGGCTCCTAGTGTTTTGTGGCGACTCTTGGCTACGTTTGCCAGGCTCCAAGAGCAGAGAGAAGGAGTAGTTTTCTCCCTTGGGCCTTCATCCTTCGAACGTGTATCCTGTGTCTGGTGGGTGACAGTATGGGCGAGAGGGCAAGGCCACATATGGGGGAGGGTTGATTTCGCGGGGAAAAAAACAGAGCAGGAAAGGTTCAACCGTCCATTTACTTGTATGATATAGCGAACGTTCCCCATTTCAAAAGCCACAATATCTTTTCTTGTCAAATGAAGAAAGACCACCTCCCGGCCTGCGTGATCTAATCCGTTCCCGGACAGACCATCAGCATGTCATCCGAAGTCTGACTAAGAAAACGGATGGATTTGTCCAAGACAGGGAAGGCTCGGTGATCAGACCACCAAGCTTTACCCGTTTCCGAGAGTGCCTACACTATACACACACTACCCAGCATAGTACCCAGAACCGTTTGATTTCCACCTCGAAATACCAAAGGAGGAAAGGTTGAAGCGGGAAGCGGGAAATCTAGTTGGATCGTGGATCACTCAGTGCAAAAAANAAAAAAAAAAATCAGCCCTACCCGCATTCGCATTGCCGTTGCCGCGATGCAGGCAGGCAGGCAGGAAGGATGGAAGTGTCGGCCTTTTGGGCTTCTATTGATCCTTTCGGAAGTTTCTTTTTCCGGATCAAATCTGATCTCACTTGTGCTAGGGTTTTTCTCGATCAGTTCCTACGTCTCTA